TCCTAGAGCCCGCCTTGACAATTAAATGTGAAAAAGTAGTGCTTCACGAAAAGCGATTTCCTATATTGAAGAAAACCTTCACTGCATGAGCAAATTCTCATATGGGCTTGGAGAAATGCATATAATAAATCAAAAGTGCATACAAGATTTTCCCTATTATGCAAGTGGAATGACTACGTACATCTGTGCGGAAAAGGTTTATTTAAGATGGCCATAGCTTGTAGGGCTTTGAACCCAAATACAAATATTACTTGCAGAAGTAACTAAGCAGTAATCTACATTGTTTATTTTAGATAGATGATTCGAATTTGATATTGTCTTAAAAGAAGTATCAAATCTACAATGTTCAACTAAAAAGGAAGGTGTATAATAATACAATCTTGCTTTTACAAGTAAGGCTACTAATTCATATAAAGCTAATTTCAACGCTCATACACATACACATATACATACATACAAAAACACACACACAAACTAAAATGCCATAGTAATTCTCCCATAATTATGCGGTCACAAACTATCAATAATTCAATTGCGTGTGATTTTATCAAATAATTGAGCATCTATTAGTATTTTAGTTTTATTTATTTTTCTATCAATAGGAATAGGCTAAATCTTGGCATCCACACCCTTACTAAAAAAAGTAAAAAATAATAAAATAAGATACAATTTACAATAAAGAATGATAAAAATATCTTGAAAACTTTCAAAGGTATCTTGTTATTTTATTTTTTAATAATATTGTTTTTATTAATTTTTAGCATGTGTCCTCATCTTGGAAGTGTGGATATACAAAACTTAAACTTCATTGATGTGATGAGAAAAAATAATTGAAAAGAATGGTCGTACTCTTAACCTTCTGATCAAGATCGAATAGTATATATTTATAGTGCTACATCGTAGAAAAACACTATAGCACTGTGTAGCTTATTTTCTTGTAGACACATATATAAATGCACAGAGAGAATGCGAGAGAAATAGAGAGATTTTAAACACAAAGCATCTTTGTTATTCGACAAACTAAATACTTCATATTTTAATTTAGGGATTGTATATGTGATACTATTTATTTTTGGTATAAGGAAGTCACAATTACTTATAGCCATTGGATGTGAAATCCAATCGATGAAAGTGTGTCACAACATTCAATAAATATTATTTTGAACTTTGTGCACAAATAATGGCACACCAGCAACCGCCCAATTTTAAATCTAACGGTGAATGATGTTTGTGACCTTCTTGTATCAAAAGTTAATGATCTCGTTATATGCATTTATTTTAATTTATCAAGACTCTCATCCATATACTTACTTTTGAGAGTTTTGTGATAAATAAGATTTTTCCCGACATTGTTCTTTAGGGGTAAGATTTTTCCCGACATTGTTCTTTAGGGGATCCAATGACTTCTAAAGAAAAGTCATGATTTATAGAAATCACAACCATCACACTTATTTTAGTAATTATTATAGAGAGTACATATTTGATACTATTTATTTTTATTACAAGAAGGTTAAAACCATCATTTAAAATTCGATATATAAAAATCACAATCATCACACATTTATAACCACCGGATTTGAAATCTGACATATAAAAATGATTGTGACTTGCTTGTATTAATGGCACATTTGACATATGTAAACACTTTGCAAGGAAAACGTTTGCAAACTTTCTATTCCCCATATTTGTTAACATGTTTAAAAAACAACGCATAATGAATTTCATAAATAAATTTTTAAATATATTTAAATAAATTTTTAAATATATTTCATAAAATATGGTAAGTATATACTAGTATTATTTAATATAATAAGATATATAGTTACATTTTATTAAATACTATTTCAAATAAATTTCATTAAATATATTTAAATAAATTTTATATATGACACAATAATATATATATACAATATTATATAAATATGTATTATATCATAATATAATGTAATATT